GGGCACAGAGCCCACAGTCCCTCGCTGTCCCCGGGGAGGGTGGGTGGCTGCCCCAGCGCTATTTGGAGGTGGGGGTGCCCTGGCTGAGCTGCAGCAGGGAGTTGGTGGCGTAGTTCTGGAAAAGGGGCTGGAGGAACATGCCGACGGTGCCGAAGACACAGACAAAGACGAAGATCCACAAGAAGAGGCGGTCGATGACCATCGCCACGTACTTCCAGTCTTCACTCACCTGTGCGGGGCCAGGAGAGAGGCCGGGTCAGGTTGGGGCCTCCAGCATCACCCGGTGCTGCTGGTGCTGCTCCCGGCAGGCGGCTGGACCAGGAGCTCAGCAGCTCTGCTGAGCCCCAAATCTGCTCCCTCAGCGCTGCAGCTCCCGGGGCCGCCTGCCAGCCCGCCGTGGGGCTCGCTCCCCCCCACTGCCACCCGTGCTGCTGAGCCTGGGAAACTCATCTCCCCAGTGAGCTGAGCTAGCAGGAGGGCAGCGTCGCGCAGCCCTGCAGCCCCATCCAGCACCAGCTCTGCCAAAATCTGCAGCTTCACGGTGCCGCGCAGCAGCGTCAGGCCTCCTGGATTTCCCGACCAACTGGTTCAGTTTGGGGGCCAGGGCTGGCACCCCTGCCTGGACAGGGGCTGCGGGGGGGGGGTGTCCCCAGACACGGGGCTGGGCAGGGACCCCCTTGGTGCTTGTGCACGTCCCTTCCTGCAGTGCAGTCGTGCACCAGCACGTGCTCTGCACCCCACAGCCCTGCCTACAGCCCTGCCCACACCCCACAGCCCTGCCTGCACCCCACAGCCCTGCCCGCACCCCACAGCCCTGCCCACAGCCCTGTCTCCACCCCACAGCCCTGCCTCCACCCCACAGCCCTGCCCGCACCCCACAGCCCTGCCTGCACCGCACAGCCCTGCCTACAGCCCTGCCCGCACCCCGCAGCCCTGCTTCCACCCCACAGCCCTGCCTGCACCCCGCAGCCCTGCCCACAGCCCTGCCTGCACCCCACAGACCTGCCTACAGCTCTGCCCGCACCCCACAGCCCTGCCTGCACCCCACAGCCCTGCCTGCACCCCACAACCCTGCCTGCACCCCACAGCCCTGCCCACACCCCACAACCCTGCCTGCACCCCACAGCCCTGCCCACAGCCCTGCCTGCACCCCACAACCCTGCCTGCACCCCACAGCCCTGCCCACAGCCCTGCCCGCACCCCACAGCCCTGCCTGCACCCCGCAGCCCTGCCTGCACCCCACAACCCTGCCTGCACCCCACAGCCCTGCCCACACCCCACAACCCTGCCTGCACCCCACAGCCCTGCCCACAGCCCTGCCTGCACCCCACAGCCCTGCCTGCACCCCACAACCCTGCCTGCACCCCACAGCCCTGCCCACACCCCACAACCCTGCCTGCACCCCACAGCCCTGCCCACAGCCCTGCCTGCACCCCACAACCCTGCCTGCACCCCACAGCCCTGCCCACAGCCCTGCCCGCACCCCACAGCCCTGCCTGCACCCCGCAGCCCTGCCTGCACCCCACAACCCTGTCTGCACCCCACAGCCCTGCCCACACCCCACAACCCTGCCTGCACCCCACAGCCCTGCCCACAGCCCTGCCCGCACCCCACAGCCCTGCCTGCACCCCATAACCCTGCCTGCACCCCACAGCCCTGCCCACACCCCACAACCCTGCCTGCACCCCACAGCCCTGCCCACAGCCCTGCCCGCACCCCACAGCCCTGCCTGCACCCCACAACCCTGCCTGCACCCCACAGCCCTGCCCACAGCCCTGCCCGCACCCCACAACCCTGCCTGCACCCCACAGCCCTGCCCACAGCCCTGCCCGCACCCCACAACCCTGCCTGCACCCCACAGCCCTGCCCACACCCCGCAGCCCTGCCCACACCCCACAGCCCTGCCCGCACCCCGCAGCCCTGCCCGCGCCTGCCCCGACTCACGCTCTGGTCATCGTCCTCGCTGCGCATGTGGTCGGCGATGAAGCGCACGCCGTCCACCGCCTCCTCCAGCCCACAGGCACAGCTGGCCGCGGGGGCCGGCGCCTGCCCCTGCCGCTCCCGGTAGCCGTTGAGCCCCTCAGCCTTGGCAGCGCCGGGGTTGGCGTAGCAGGCACAGGCACGGGCGCCGGCCCGGAGGAAGAGGGTGGCGGTGGCAGCCCGCTCCTGGGTGTGCCGGCGCTGGCGCAGGCGCTGGCGTGCGCAGTTCTGCCGCGGCTGCTTCATGAAGAGCAGCGCCGGGAGCTTGCGGAGGAAGAGGTTGCGGACCCAGGGCGGCATGGTGTGCGTGGTGGGCGAGCGGTGGTGTACGTTGAGGACACAGACGCTGGTGACGATGGAGAAGGTCACCAGCACCATGGTGAACATGAGGTACTTGCCCACCAGCGGCACGTCCAGCGAGGTGGGCGGCACGATCTTGGAGATGAGCAGCAGGAAGACGGTGAGGGCGAGCAGGACGGAGATGCAGAGCGTCATCTTCTCGCCGCAGTCGGAGGGGAGGTAGAAGACGAGGATGGCCAGGGAGGTGATGAGGATGCAGGGGATGATGAGGTTGATGGTGTAGAAGAGTGGCTTGCGCCGGATGATGAAGTCGTAGGTGATGTCCACGTAGGTAGAATCCTCAGGGTTCTCGTTGCGCCGTCCTGGCAGCGCCACGATGTCCCACTCGCCGCTGGGCGTGAAGTCATCCAGGCTGGCCACCTCACTCTTCAGCACCAGGTCAATCTCGGTGCGGTCGTAGGTCCAGGAACGGAACTTCATGGTGCAGTTCTGCTGGTCGAAGGGGAAGTGCTTCACCTCGATCTTGCAGGCGCTCTTGTAGATGGCCGGCGGCAGCCAGAAGATGCTGCCGTCGTAGGAGATCACCGCGTTGGAGTAGAAGGAGACCTCGTACATCCCATCGGCGCTGGGGCAAAGGGATGGGCTGTCAGCCCTGGCGCTGCCCCGGCAGTGCAACGGCACCGCCCCGAGCCCCTAAGGGGGTTGGGGTTCACACAGCCTCCCCCCCCCAAAAAAAAACACCTACTTGTTGTAGAGCACCACGTCGGGCAGCCAGATGTGCTTGGAGGGCAGGCGGACCTTCTTCATGTTGTCAAAGTCCTCCGGCTTCCAGGTGAGGCGATAGTCCTCCCACTCCTGCAGGCAGGCAGGCTCAGCCCGGGGGGCCAGGACAGGGTGGGCATGGGGGCCCCACACAGGGTATATGGGGGGTCCCGGGGCAGGGGGGGAACAGGAGGGTCCCCAGGCCAAGGTGAACAGGGGGGGTCCTCGGGACAGGGTGCAGGGGGTCCTGGGACAGGGTAAACAGGGGGTCTCCAGGCCAAGGTGAACGGGGGGGGGTCCCAGGGCAGGGTGCAGGGGGGCCCAGGGCAGGGTGAACAGGGGGGTCCTGGGGCAGGGTGAACGGGGGGGGTGCCAGGGCAGGGCACAGAGCGGGAACAGGACAGGGTGAACAGAGGGGGTCCCCAGGCCAGAGTGCAGGGTGGGAACAGGGGACTCCCCAGGCCAAGGTGAACAGGGGGGGTCCCCAGGGTAGGGTGAGCAGAGGGGGTCCCCAGAACAGGGTGAACGGGGGGGGTCCCGTGGCAGGGTGGACACAGGAGGTCCCAGGGCCATGGCAGAGGCCAGGGCTCCCACCTGGGTCAGCCAGACATTGGTGGTCATGATCTGCTCCCGCTCGTGCTGCGGAGAGAGCGGGGCCGGTTATTCGGGGTGCCGGGGGGGTCTGGCAGGGCCCCCCCTCCTCTCCGCAGGGAATGGGGGGAGCAGAGCCCCGACCGACTCACCACGCTGATGAGCTGCGCCAACGACACCATCAGCTGCACGGTCACCAGCTCGGAGCCGTTGGTCGCCGGCCGGATCAGCTTGTTGTAGCGCGCGGGGTCCAGCAGATACTCGACCAGCCGCTCCTCCGTGTCCGTGCCCAGGCTCCCTGGGGCGCGGCAGGGGGCTGAACCCCGCGGCGGCGGGCAGGGTCCCCCCCGGGATCCCCCTCCCCACCCCCCGTGGCCACCCCGGGGGTCTGGGCCTGGAGGCTGATGGGGGGGGGGGGCGGGGTGCGGGTGGCACCGGCGGCTCGAAATGGTGGGAAATGGGGGACCCCGGGGGGGCTGAGGTGTTTGGGAAGCAGCAGCTCCGGGAGATCCGGGAGATCCTGGACACACACCCCCACACACACCCCGCGGCACGGCTCGGGCAGCCGCAGCCCCGTGGGAGCGCTGGGAGCACCGGGAACGCGGCCGGTACCGGGTGCACGGCGGGTCCGGTACCGGGGAAGCGTTGGACGGTTCTGTGCAACAGGCGCAGCCGCGGGGCCCGGTGCGGTCCCCTCCCCGCCGGTGCCGGTGCCCGCCCGCCCCCCTCCCACTCCCCCGGTTCCCAGCACTTACGTCTGAGGGCGGCGAGGAGGCAGAGGACGCGGAGCAGCGCCATGGGGGCGGCCCGTTGCCGGTGCCGCCGCCGGTGCCGGTGCCCGGGCGCTGTCCCCGGTGCTGCCCGCGCTCTCCGCGGTGCTGGAGCCGGCGGCGGCGGCGGCGGCGGCCCCGGGCGGGGCGGCCCCGGGCGGGAGGCGGTGCCGTTCGCTGGGCCGGGGCCGCCCCGCTCTCCCCGCCCCGCCGCCGCCCCGGGGACACCGGGGAGCACCGGGGGGGTGTCGGAGCTCGCCGCTCCCACCCAGCCCCCGCCGCCCCCGGTTCCCGCACGGTCAGGGGAGCCCCGAGGGGGCGGCGGAGCTGTCGGGAGGAGCTGGCGGAGCCCCCCCGCGGCCCCGGGACACCACGTGACACCCCCCCTCCCCACACCCCCCCCCCCCACACGCACGTGACCCCCGTCAGGCAGGGGCGGGGCGAGCGGGAGGGGCGAGTCCCGCCCCCTTTCCCTCCCCGGGGCGCCTTTGTGGCGTCACTTCCGGCTCGGCGGCACCGGTGGCGAGAGCGATTCCGGTGGGGGGGGGGAGGGGGTTGTCCCCGCCCCTTCCGCTGGCGGCGGGAGGGGTCACTTCCGGGGAGCGGGGCCGTCCCGCCGCCATCTTGGGCCGGCTCCGGGGGCTGCGGCGGCGGCGGCGGCGGAGCGGGTCCCTCCATGGGAAGATGCAGCGGGCGGGGCCGGAGGAGGCGGCGGGGTCGCAGGCGGCGGCGGGGGGGCCCGGGCGGAGCGGGGCCGAGGTGGCGGCGGCCCCCGCCGGGCGGCTCCTGAGGCGGGAGCTGCGGCTGCTCGAGTCCATCTTCCACCGGGGCCACGAGCGGTTCCGCATCGGCAGCGCCTGCCCCGACGAGATCAGCTGCGAGTTCGTCCCGGGAGCCGGGGCCCGCGCCGGTGCCTCCGGGGCCCGGGGGCCGCCGCCGGGGCCCGTCCGCATCCACTGCAACATCACGGTGAGGCCCGGGGCGGGGGGAACGCCGGGGCCCACGGGCACCGAGGGGCCGCCCCGGTTCCAGCCGGAGCGGCGGCTGTTGGGGGGATTGCGGCCCGGGGGATCCCGGCGCCGTTGCGGGGAGCGGGCCCCGTCCCCCCCCCCCCCCACCCCGGGGTCCCTCGGCACGGCGGGGAAGCTGCCTCCGGTGTGTGTGTGTGCGTGTCCCGTCCCGGGTGAGTGGGGTGCTCGCCGAGTCCCCCGGGGTGCGCTTGGCCGGGGAGTGTCTCCCCGCAGAGCAAACCCCGGAGCCTTCAGCCTCGCAGCAGGTTCTCATCATCCTCCTGGCCCGTTCCCCCCCCCCCCGCAAGACTCTGGCCTCCCCGGAGGTTTGGGGTTGTTTTTTTTTTTTTTTTTCTGAGAGGGGGTCCCACGGGTGCCCCTGACCGGCGATGCCCCACGTCGGGCTCTTTCCCACCTGGGGTTTAGGGGATCCCGGTTCTGGTTGGGTTCGCAGTGGGGTGCGGATCCCACCTCCCCCCCCCCCCCCAGCGAGTTACAGCGGGTGCTGCGGCTCCGGGCGAGGAGCAGCAGCGTGGAAAACCCCCCCCGGTGCGGCGGCTGTACGGGGCTGGGATTTTCTGGAGGGGGGTGATTTGGGAGCGTTGTCAGTGGGTTTTACCCTGGGTTAAAAGCACCTGCCCGGCCTCTGCCCCTGCACTGGTGCTGGTGGGTCGTGCACACCTCAGTCTCCTTCTGCGGCGCTTCTGGTCCGGAGCTGGCAAGGCGAGAGGCTCACGGGGCAGCGTGAAACGCCCTCGGTGTCCTGCCTTAACAGCTTTCCCACCCCCCCAAAAAAACGGCCAAAACATCGCCGCTGTCCGTGTTCTACCCCGCTCCCCCAGACGGAGGGGGGAAGTGGCACAAGCGCTGAGCCAGATCAGTGTGGTTGGAGCCAGGGTTTGTTTTGCCCGTGGCCCTGGAGGGTGGATGTAGTTGCTCATGGGCCGTTCTGCTGATTTCTCTGGTCTGGAGGGATCGGTTTGTGGGAGATGTGGGGCTGCAGCTCCCTGCCCTGCCCGGCTCGCCGCTCCGTTCATCGGCGGCGCCGGAGACGGTCGTGACAGCTCAAACACCGCCTTCTCCTCCTCTCCAGGAGTCTTACCCAGCCGTTCCCCCGATATGGTCTGTGGAGTCAGACGATCCGAACCTGGCAGCTATCCTGGAGAGGCTGGTGGAAGTCAGGAAAGGAAACACGCTGGTGAGCGGGCACTGCCTGGGGCGAGGCGACGTGAGGCTGGCTGCTTCGGGAGGGTCAGACCCCTGCTGCGTGCCTGCAGCCGCCTGGTGTTGGGGGGTGCATCTGCTCTCATAAAGGTTTGGGAAATTTGGGATGAGCGGCTCTGACTTCTCCTGAGTTTGATGCCGGGGTGTGATTTTCCCCCCCGGCCCCTGTGTCTTCCACTGCTGGGAGCAGGAAGGAGCAGCCTCTGGGCCTCCGCTCGCTTGTTTGCGAGGGGTCTTGCAGCGCGGAGGACGGCTGCGGCTTAGCTTGGCGCGTGGGTTCCCTGCGCCTTTCTGACGTTTGTCTGATCTCTGGACAGCTTTTGCAGCACCTGAAGCGAATAATCTCCGACCTGTGCAAACTCTACAACCTCCCCCAACATCCAGACGTTGAAATGCTGGACCAGCCCCTGCCGGCAGAACAGGTGAGTGACGCAGGAGGAGACTTTCTAAGCTCATAAAATGAATTTGCTTTAGAGGCTGGAGCTTCATACCCCATGAAGAAGCGCAGCGGGTGGGTGCTGATCTCCTTTCCCTGGGGGGATTCCTGTCCTGGGTGATGCCAGCCTGCTCCGTTGGGCCTCGGTGCTGTTTGGCTGCTCTGGTGTGGCTTCCTGTAAAGGTTCTTGGTTTTGCTTTTGACTTGGTTCTGCTTGTAAACCCCTGTTTAACCTTGCCTCAAAAGTGTCGAGGAGGGCAGGAGAGCGTCGCCACAGGAAGCTGCCGGTGCGATCTTCGTTCTCTGTCCTTTTGTCCCTGCAGAGCACACAGGAAGAGGTGTCCTCTGAAGAGGAAGACGAAGAGATGCCAGAGGTAAGTGCCGCCTCGCTGTATGAGGAAGTTACACCAGAGAGCTGAGCGCGGGGAGATGCCTGCCGAAAGGTGCGAGGGCGCAGGGAGTTGTGTCTGGGAAGATCCTGCTGGTTGGCTCGAAGGCTGGATTGTTCTCAGCATTTTGCTGCTGGGGACCCAGGTCCTGAGCCACGGGTGGGAGCGATGTGTTCACAAACCACAGGCGACCGCAGCAGCCGAGAGGTGTAGCCGTGGCCTCCAAAGGCATCCAGACGAACTGAGAGTGGAGCCCCTTGGACAATTTCTCTCTTGGCTCATGCTGCTGTGCTCTAGAGCCTGGAATTTACTTGCAAGCGATGGGATTTCCGGGTTGCCATTGCTGGCAGGGAAATCACACCATGAAAATGGGACTCCCGCAGAGAGGATTAGGTAGGATGGCTGAGTGTGCGAGCGAGCTAATTGGCAGGAGCAGCAGAGGCAGCCATATTTCACTGCAGGCTGAGAATATCATGCTGCAAAACCCACAGGCTTCGGTTGTTTGGTTTGCGGTTTAGAGATCTCTAGAAGTGGGTGGAATAATCTTGAATCTCCATGGTGATGTTTAGCGATGCCTCGCACACTTCTCCTGGGGTGTGAGAGGCACGGGCACCGAGTCAGCAGCACTGCAGAACCTGGGGGCAGGTCACTTAGCAGCAGCACGCGGAGCAGTTGTTGAGGTTTTAGCAAAGTCAATAGCTTGCTAAATCAAGGCTGACCTTTTCCAGGGTCCCCAGAGAAAATGAGGAGGCTTGAACTGGTACCAGCATAACCTCCTATATCTGCAAACTTGCTGCTTCATGGCAAATTTGTGATGCGTGAGTCCTCACCCTCTTGTGGGCTGAAAAAGAAATCCTTGGGAACTGAGTGTTCCCCCTCGTGCTTTCTGCTAGCACCGTGCGTCGTCGTTTAGGGACAATGCTCTTGCTTAGAGCAAAGGTTTCTTGCTGAGCGGTTGGATTTGTTGGGCTGTGTCAGAAGAGCAGAGCCGTGCCCTGGTACAGAGATGCATTATGCAGGTTAATCCACTCGAGGGATTTTCTAGGAGGATCTATTTTCTTGTGTGACAGTCTAAAAATGTCAAAGCCTTTCCAAAAATGCTGCTCATCCGGAATAGCAGCAGCTAGCTTGGAGAGGCTGAATAAAAACACTTGTTCAGAGGATTTAATACCAGCGCCAGAGCTGTGTGTCCCCACAGCCATTTGCAGGCAGCTTCCAGGAAGTTGAACCCTGTGTGTGGATACTGCAGCTGCCCCTGATTGCTGCAACTGGTTTTTGCTGGGTATTAACATCAGGGCCTTGTGCATGTCGAGCTGAGTGGTGGTGTGGGGAGGGATGAGGGGCAGAGCCTCTGCCAGGGTTAGGGAGAGCATCGGGAGCATCCTGCAGGGTGGAGAGCTGAGCTGATCTCCAGACAAGCTGTGAAACGTCACCTCTTTTTGAGGGGACAAACATCCTGCGCCACTGAATTCCGTGCGTGAGGGTCTCTTCTTGCGCTGCCGGTGATGAGTTCCTGTGGGGGTTTTTGCTTGTGAAGGGGCAGCAACACGGCCTGGCAGTGCTGGGCACTGTCCCAGCCGCCCAGAAACGCAGCATGGGGCTGCTTGTTCCACGTGTGTGCTGAGATACAAGTGCCTTTCAGTTACATGGGGCTCGCTGGGGGAGCATACGTAAGATTAATGACTAATTCTAAACAGACATGAGACTTGGCAGGGAAGAATCCAGCAAACAAAGAGCTTGTATTAGCCCAGTTTAATTCTGGAAAGGGAAGTGTGCTGCTCTGCCTGCTGGCTTTGGTATGGGAGGGCAGTGGGGGCCCAGTGCCTGTAACTTCTTCACTGAGCATGCCCAGGCCTTGTGTCTTCCACCCTGTTTGTGCCTCAGATCGGGGCTTGGGACTTCCTGGGGAGGGAGAGTTGCACCGAGAATCTTTCCTGATTCAGGGCAGCTTCTGTCTGCAGTACTTGGAGCAGGGAGGAGTGAAGAAGCATCTCCTACTACCTCTCCTCTCCCCTTCCCAGGACACTGAGGACTTGGACCACTATGAGATGAAAGAGGAAGAGCCGGCAGATGGGAAGAAGACAGAGGATGAAGGCATTGGGAAGGAAAACCTGGCCATTTTAGAGAAAATAAAAAAGAACCAGAGGCAAGATTACTTAAATGTACGTGTCGCCCGGCGGGCGGGTGGGTTGGGGAAGCAGAGGGAGCCAAGGGCGAGAGCGATGGAGGCACCTCCTAGCCCTAAATCAAAGGGGCTGTCCCTGGCCAAAGGTACAGCAGTGGCTCTCCGGGGCTGGCGTGGCTGATGCAGAGAAGTCTGTGAGCTGTCTCTGCAGCTCAGGGACGTAAGTGTGGGCCTCGGGTGCCCCAGAGGCATCGGTGCTACATGGGGCAGCCTTCCTGCAGTGAGATCTGGGGTTCCCCTCTGCTCCCAGGAGCTGCGCCTCACTTTAGAGGTGGCTGGTGGGTTGTGCTTTTATATTCCTGAGCTGAGATTCTAATGCAGTTGAGAGGGCACAGAGGCGTTTCTGCTGCAGCCTGTGGGTGGCCTGTGTGGGGCCAGGGAAGTTGCTGTAGTGGGAAGGATGGAAGACACGAGGTGGGGGAGAAGGTAAGGTCTAGCTTAGAGGCTGCACGGGAGTTCTAGCTCAGGTGTTGGCCTCGTAGAGCAACAGCTGTGGAGGGTACAGGGTAACAATGCAACTTCCCTCCTCCCACGTTCCTCGCAGGGTGCAGTGTCTGGGTCTGTGCAGGCCACCGACCGGCTAATGAAGGAGCTCAGGGATATTTACCGATCACCAAGTTTCAAGGGCGGTAAGTACTGCGGGGAGCTCGGGGCAGGGGGCTGCTGCTCCGCTCTTCGTGCTGGGGTTTTTCTCATCGTTCTGGGTGGCACCTAATGGGCCTCAGAGCTGTTCTGCTCTGCTCAGCTGGGAAGAAGCTCTCTGGCCTTTGGTGGTTGTGGCTCTGTTAAGAGTGAGCAAAACTGCCTTACCGTCTCTGTTCCCCACCAGTGCTGGGTGGGAAGATTATCTGGCTTTGAGGGTGATGGTGCTCCTACCCCTTTCCTGAGCCCAAGGACTCAGGAAAGAGCAGTCATAGGAAAATTACTGCCCTGGGGACCATCCTTCTGGATAAGTGCTGCTTTTCGGAGCGGGGGGGCTGTCTGTGCCAGGCTGAGGTTGTGCTGCAGGGCCATGGGGATTTAAAATTGGTGGTGGCTCGACTCCCTGTTCAGTCTCCCCCGCCCCGTAGTGATGTGCCTCTTCTCTGCCTTGCAGGATACTATGCAGTTGAACTAGTGAACGACAGCCTGTACGATTGGAACGTCAAACTCCTGAAGTAGGTGGCATGGCTTGGGATCATACAACTGTGGTGGATCTTGGTGGTGGGACCAAAATGTCCCTGTGAGCCAGAGGGGAAGTGAGCAGGGCAGGGGAGCACCTGGCAGACCTTGGGTTAGCCTCTCTCAGGCAGCTTGCTTGCTGTCTCCACATCAGAAAGGAGGTGACATCTCCAGAGAAAGATGAGATAATCTGAGGGCTCTGCAAGTCTGTCTGCTGTTCCTAGAGTCCTGGAAGAGGTGCATCAGACAAAACCCCGAGCTTTCACACCCTCCAGACACCAGTGCTGCCTTTTCCTTGGGCCAGGCAGTGTTTATTTTTAAGCTGGCAAGCATGCAAAAAGGGTGTGATGGTCTTCTCCGCAAACCGGGAGCAGAATGGTGACAGCCCGTGCTGTCTCTGCCCTCCGGGTGAGAACCCGAGGGCCCACGTGGCAGCCAGGTTGTGCAGGTACAGTAGCTCTGGGCTTCGGTGGCAGTGAGCGCGGCTGACCTGAGGTGCACAGCCTTGACTGTGACCCTCTGGGTTTTGCCTTCGGCAGGGTTGACGAGGATAGCGCTTTGCACAATGATCTCCAGATCCTCAAAGAGAAAGAAGGCACAGATTTCATCCTCTTAAACTTCTCCTTTAAAGTAAGGCTTCCCGTACCTCCCCCTCCTCGAGATACGCCTGCCTCAGCGAGTCGTCAGAGAAGATGTTTCCCAACGGCTTTGCTTCTCTTCTCTTCTTTCAGGATAACTTCCCTTTTGATCCACCGTTCGTAAGGGTCGTGTCCCCGGTGCTGTCAGGGGGGTAGGTGACTGTTTGCCTGTCTCTGCTCGCTGGGGTCTCCAGTGCTGCTTCCTGCACCAGTTTTCACTAAGACTTTATCCGGTGCTGCGCAGTCCCGTAATCTCCCCGATAGGATTTTGCAGTAGCTCTCCTGGGAGGCACAGACAGGGGTGGTGGATTTTTTTTTTTTTTTTTTTTTTGGTGCATTTTTCCCATCTGACATCTACCCTGAGAAAATGGTTCATCTCTGGAGCAGTGGGTGGGCGAGGCCGTGTCCGTCTCTGACGTAACTTTGCCCACTTCCTTCCCCAAGGTATGTTCTGGGTGGCGGTGCCATCTGCATGGAGCTACTTACAAAACAGGTGGGTCCTGGCCAGTATGTGGACTTGGGTAGCTGCTGCTCTCCGCTGTGCTTTGTGTTCTTGCCGCTCAGGACCTGCTGGCAGCCGAATCCTGCCTGTACCCCTGGCTGGCAGCTGCCTGGCGTGGCTTTGCGATGCCTGTGCCGGGCTCGGGAAGGCCCTTTGATGGCTGGGGGGAAGCGCAGCCCCCTGCGTGAGGGTCCTGGCCTCACTGTGTTGCTCTCTGCCCCTCAGGGCTGGAGCAGCGCGTACTCCATCGAGTCGGTGATTATGCAGATCAGCGCAACGCTGGTGAAAGGGAAGGCACGAGTACAATTTGGAGCCAATAAGGTAGGGCCCCGTCAGCGAATTTGAGGAGCGGTCGGTAGTGGGATAGAGGCAGATGAGGGTGGGTTGGCTCTCACCGGGTTCTAGCTGGACTGACAGTCGCCCTGGTTTCCTTTGCAGAATCAGTACAGCCTGACAAGAGCACAGCAGTCCTACAAATCCCTGGTTCAGATCCACGAGAAGAATGGTAAGGGCTGAGGGAGGGGGGCGTGCATTTCCCCTGGCTACTCCGAGCTCCCTTAGGCCGAGCGTCCAGATGAGCTGCTTGAGTTTTGTTGTGGTTTTTTGTTTGTGTTTTTTTTTGTTTGTTTTTTTTTTTTTTTTCCCCACCCCAAGTGCAGAGATGACCTGGAGTGAGATGGCAGCTGCTGCCTAACACAGCGCGTGCAGCCGCAGCATCCCTCAGTGCTAGTGATAACTAGAGACAGCGCGGCACTGGCCGGGTGGTGTGGGAAATAACCCAGAGGAAAAGCCTCCCGGTTACCTGGGAGATGTGGAACTTGGCACGCTTGCTCTGCCGCCCTCGGCAGCTTTTCCAGGTGTATATCCATGTTCCCTGTGCAGCTTCGTCCCTCACGGATCTCTCTTCTCATTTCAGGCTGGTACACACCGCCCAAGGAGGACGGCTAGCACAGATGCTGCAGGACCAATCTGATTATCTTCTGGATGCTCTACTTGGATCTTAACGATGCCTCTTGGCTTTCTCCCAGGATGTAATAGCTCTGCCTGTTGCAGGACAATAATGGCTGTTAAAAACTCTAAATAAAACTGTTTAAGCAGTTGGACTGACTTAAAACACTTGCTGGACCCTTGCTAGCAGGCATTCTTGTTAAAACAAACTTTTGAGCCTCTTGTATCGCTGGAAGCTTTCGACTCTACTCCAGTCTAGAGCGTCCTCCTTACCTATGCTATGGATTTAATTTATTTTCTTATTTCATGTACACTGCTTTTTTTTGTTACAGTGTATGATGGATGTGTATGGAAAATGTATCTTTGGAGAAAAATTACAGTTTGTTAATTTGAAGATGCTGGTCTGACTAATTTTTTATTTTTTTTTTTTTTTTTTTCCAAGCTGCTGCTGGGTGGATCGTACCCTGCGCTGGCAGCGGCGGGGAACAAACCCCTCTGCAGCAGCTGTGCCACGCTGCATCTTCAGCCCTGGTCCTGTGGTGTGGATGGAGCTGAGGAGCCACGGGCTAGGGAATGGCCCAGGCCTCTTGGTGTTGGCTGCGAAGTCCCTGGACAAGCCCTGTGGGAAGGTCTGAAACAGCTGCCTTGGAAGAAGAAAATTTTTTAAATTTTTTTCTTTTTTTTTTTTTTTGCAACAACAGAGCAGGGCTTCTGTCCCCTTCTCCCCTAGAGCAAGAACAGACTTTTCTCTTTATAAACTGCAAACTTACGCCTCTGGAAGTGGAGAGGGGAAGATCCGTAAGGCTTTCCTGTGTCCTGCTGAGGATGAGGGGTTCATAGCTGCACCCCAGGGCTGCCAGCTCACACCCCAAACTTCGTGTCCTGTCTTGCCAAGCAGTGAGAGATGCGTGGAGGCTCGGCTGTGACAAACCCGGAGCTGTAGCCCTTTGCCCTTGTCTCTCCCCACTAACCCCATGTGGAGGGGGAAGGGGGCTGAGCCCTTTGTACCTGTAAATGCTGCGCTGTGGATGAAAGCCTGGTTCTCTAGGGTTTGATTTTTTTTTTTTTCCTCCTCAAGCCCTCGTTCCTGCTCGGCTCAGTGCTACAGGGCTGAGCCCCAGCCCTTGGTGGAAGGCATTGCTGCAGTCGTGCCCTGTTGCTTCAGTCCCTGGTCCTTGCTCAAGTCCCCTCTGCTCTAGCCCGAGGCTGCTGGAAGGAGATTTGGGTGTTGGAGCTCCTCTAACTTCTGGTGCTGTGTCCTCGGCTGGAGGGCATAGCTGACTCATTAGTGTCAAAGCCGGGCCATCAGTATTAATTCACTGTGTTTGAATAAAAGTTATTAGAAAAATCAAAGGGCCTCAGAAGTCCATTATCTCCTCCACCAGCTGTTCAACTCTTTAGGCTTGTCCTGCTCCAAGCCTTGGGATAAAAAGGTGCTGTATGAGAGGGATTATTCCTGGCTGCTCTGTGCTTGCTGCAGGAGCAGCTCTGGCCTTGGCTGGGGACTGTTTTTAAATGCTTTGCTGAAGGACTGGTGGGTTTGGGTATGCTGAGCAGCTCTGCCCTGGACCAGCACCCGGAGGGGTCCTGAGCTTTCCCCAGTCCTGTTCCCAGGGCCTGGTGCTGGGAGGGGAGCGGGGGCAGCCGTACTCCCCTCTTGAGCTCAACCAGCACTGAGGAACCTGCTGGGGAGGGGGTTAAGCCAGTTCAATGGATGTTTAAAAAAAACCTTGTGGTGTTTCCCCCTGGTGCTGGGGTTGGGTGCAATGTGGTGGTTGCGGGAGCTCACGGCCTGAATCCTGGCAGCTCTCCGAGTCGAGCAGGGCCCTGCCAGACCCTCTGCCAGGAGGATGCTGACCCGGCGGGCGCTGGGGCTGGGAGGGCGGCAGGAACAGCGCGGGCTGGCGTCTGGCAGGCGTCCGCCCGTCCCATCTGTTCTCACCCGCCCCAGTGCCGGGATCTGTCCTGCCCCGAGACAGGCTCTCAGCGCTCGTCACCACCGGGCTGGCTCCGCTCTTGTTTTGGCTTCTTGGGGAAGCAGGCGTGCGGTGCCATCTGTCACCGCTGCTGGAGATGCTCCCACAGCCTTCCCCTCTGGGAGCTGGCAGGGGATGGGGACAGGGAGAGGCTTCCCAAAGGAGAGGTGTGGACAGGGCGCCGCGGGGAACGCCGCCGCAGCACGAAGCCACCGAGACGGTGCTGCCTGCCTGCCTGTCCTGCCGTTGAGGCTCCTGGAAAAAAGATGAAGGGGGGATTTAAACCTGCCAAGGAAAGAAAACAAACCAGCACCTTTCTCATTAAGCTAGCACCGGAGCTTATCAGCGGAGGCGTGGAGGTTTCCTTGGCCTGGAGAAGGTGAAGCTGAAGCCAGCCATGATCCCACTGCCAGTTTGGGCGCCAGCCTAGCAGCGATGCCTTGCCACCACGAGGCACATCCTGCCCGGCAGCGCCGGCAAGGAAATTGCCACCATTTCCTACGGCGCTGCCGACGACCCTGCGCAGCTGCTCGAGGCTGCCCAGCGCCCCGGCACCTCCCTGCACACGGACAGGGGCGAGCACAGTGCTGGGGAGCAGTGCTGTGTGTCGGGGTCTGTTCTCCCAGTGCCCCCACCTCATCACAGCAGGGGTGGGTAGGAGCTGGCTGGGCCTTGGGGATGTTCTCCAGCAAACAGGAGGAGCCCGTGTCCTGCCCCCGAATCGTGGCAGCCCCATCCTGGGGGATGGGGGAGCATCTTTACCTGCAAAACCCCATCCTTTTTTGCTGTGTTTTTGCAAAGGGCTCGGTAAGGGGCCCCCCCCCCGGCACCGTGCAGCCCAGCTGCCAGCCCGGCAGGAAGCCAAATCACTGGGCTCAGCCGGGGTTTTCCGGCAAGGTCTCGGTGCAGCCAGCAGAAGTAGGTCTTCACCAGTGTGGTGTCAACCACAGCCGCAGCGTCAGCGAGCGCAGCGGGGCCTTGCTCTCGCCCTGTCAGGCTGTGCACGGGGAAGGGGGGTCCGTGCGTGGGGGTCCTGGCACGGGGGTGGGTCAGCACAGTGGGGCTGAGCACGGGGCCCATACAGGGGCTGTGTATAAGGGGTCACGCGTGGAGGTCTGGGCGCGGGGCTCTCTGTGGGGTCCACGTGCAGGATGAAGCCCCCTTGTCCCATCAGTTGGGTCCCGAAGTCTCGCAGCCCCACCGGGACGGGACTCCCCCCGCCCCGCGCCGTTCTCGGGGACCGCGCATCCCTCGGCAGCCGCCGGACGGAGACCCCGCTCCGGAGAGGACGGCGCCGGGGCTCCCCGAGGCTGCCGGGGCCGGTGGCCGCTCGCCCGGCCGGTGCCGCGCCGTCCCCCGGGGCCGCCCCCTCCGGATCTGGGCGGGGAGCGCCGGCCCCGCCGCCCCCTCCGGCCCCTCCGGCCCGGCCCGTCGCGTCCCGCCGCCGCCGCCGCCGCATGGGGCCCCCCGGGCCGGCCTGACTCCCCCCCGCAGCATCGCCGCACCCCGGAGACGGGCCCCGCCGAGGAGCCGCGACGGGACCCCCCGGCTGCCCGGCACCGGCTGGACCCTCCGGAGCACGGAGAGACCCCCTCCGGGCCCCCTCCCCGGGGGCAGACGACCCTCGGAGCCGCCCCGGGGCTGCCCCAGCCGGACCCCTCGGACCCCCCCGACTCGTCCCATCGCTGGAGCAGAGACCTCAGCCCCACCCGGGACCCTTCTCCGGGGCCAGGGACCCCTGGGGAGACGCGGTCCCTTCCTCCGGACGTGGGAGCCGGCACCCCTGGGGACCCGCCAGCCGTCCCCGCGGGGGCGAAGGACGCCTGGAGCCCCCCACCCACGCCGGGGGCGAAGGCCCCGGACCCCCCTGCCCACATCCCCCCTCCCGGGCTGGCCCCTGGCCACCGAGGGTCCCGCTCCCGGGGCTGGGGGGAGCCGGGCTGCCCCGTGCCCCCCGGCTGAGCCGGCCCTGAGCCGGCGGGGCGGCCGTGGGGCGTCGAGGAGCCCCGGGTGGGCCGCAGCACCCTGCCCCTCCCTGGCCCCATGGCGGCCAAGTGGTTCAAGGAGTTCCCCTCCAACCTGAAGACGGTTTCGGAGAGGGCTCGGCCAGGCAGCGGTAGCCTGGGCAAGAGCCGCAAGAATTCGGCTGCCGAGCTGGGGGGCTGCCGGGCTGGCCCGGGGGGTGGCAAGGAGGGGGGTGGCCGGTTGTCGCGGGACAACCTGCAGGGTCTGCTCCAGGCTGCCACTGGGAAGATGCGGAAGAACTCCCGGGTGGAGGGGGGGACACCGGAGGGACCCCCCAAAGCCTGCGGCACCTACATCAACCGCCTCATCAAGGTGGAGGCTCACGAGAAGAACGGGAAGGGGTACCCTGGCCCCCTGCCCACCGGCCTGCCTGCCCCGGAGCAGGACAAGGGGAAGACCCTCAAGACAGAGACGGTAAGGGGGCACTGGGGGGGACTGAGCGGCTGGGGGGGGGGGGAAGTGTGCAGCACTGGCAGCTTTAACCGCTTTGGGCTTCGGCTCATTAGCCCCGCTAACCCCAGCCTTTCATCACGCCTGGCTTTGCTGCCTTCAAATCTCATCCAAAGCTCCCTTCATCCCGACTGCTCTTCATCTCCTGGGGGGGGTGTGCGGGGGGGGAGTGCTCGCCAGTCCTCACCGCATCCCACCGTGTCCCAGCCCACCCTGACCCCAGCGCTCAGCCGCTAATTAAACAAAGGCTGACGTAAAAGCTTTTCTGGGAAGCTGGACTTTCACCCCCACACAGCCCCGGGGGTGGCTGGGGGCCAGTTGGGGGTGGTGGGGGGGTGCTGTCAACCAAAAGGGTCCCCAAGCCTCCCTCGGGCTCCTCCCCACTGCTGGGGTGCATAGGGATGGATGCTGCCCCCACCCAAAGGTGCCACCGGCTGCACCCCCTTGGGGTTGTAGCATGGGTCCATCTACTCAGACAAGCTGCCAGCATCCCCCGGGGGAGCCCCGGCTTTGCGCTGGGGACATCCCCACCACCCCCTCCTCCTGCTTCCCCCCCACCCCTTTCCCCAGCACACCCAGTAGGACCCCCTGGCCGTCCCCTGAGGCCAGTTGGTGCCCATCCCATCCTCAGGTCATCATCCTGGAGGACTACGCCGACCCCTACGACGCCAAGCGCACCAAGGGTCAGCGGGACGCCGAGCGCCTGGGGGAGAACGACGGCTACATGGAGCCCTACGACGCCCAGCAGATGATCACAGGTACGTGGCGTGCCGTGGCGTGCCGTGGCGTGCCGTGGCGTGCCGTGGCGTGCCGTGGCAGCGCGGCTGGCACCGCTCCCCGGCCGGGAGCTCACGGCTGCTCCTGGAGCCGCCCGGCGCGGGAGGCTCCGGGAACAGGAAAGCTGCTCGCCGCTTCCTGCGGCTGCACGGGGCCAGATAAGGAGCGGGCGCGAGGCCGGACGCTGACCCGTGCCCGCCGGCCCCTCGCCCGGTGCCACGACCTGCTGCCATTGCCCAAAGAGGGGGGGCACTGCGTCCGTGCAGAGCCCTCAATATCACCCAGCCGGGGCCTGGGAGGGTGGGGTGGGGGGCACAGCACCCTCAAGGGTCCTCCCATGGCTGTGGCCCCCCCCCACACACACACACCCTGCTCCCCAAAGCCAGCGACCCCCCGGCCGGTGTGGCAGCCGCCCAGCTGGCCAGAACAACAGGAACTGACTCGGCCGGAAGCTGAAATAAAAGATTTGCTGCTGATGGTTTTTTTCCATGCGGGGCAGTCCGGGCTGTTTGGCGGAGCCCGGCGCCGCGGGGCGAAGCGGGGGGCTGGGGTTTGGGGAGGGGGTGATCCCCACACACCACCCCCCCCCTCCCCTCAAGGGTGGTCTCCTGCGGGGCCGGGCTCCAGCGTGGGGGTGTAGCATCCTGCTGTCTCGGAGCCCAACTGGCCCCACCGGCGTGTTTCTGTGCCCGCGGCGCCGGCAGCCTCCGGGCTGCGACAGCAGGCCAGGCGCCATGAGGATGGGCTCCTTCCTGCTCCGGCTCCTCCCAAGCCCGGTCCCAATGGTGTGTCCCTGGCATGGGGTCCCTGGTACACATCCCTCCCCAAGGGCAGGATTAGGGGGGGTGGGGTGGGGTGTCTCAGGGGACACACAGCCCTCTCCCTGACCCACCGTTCCTCTTCCCCGCAGAAATCCGCCGTCGGGGCTCCAAGGACCCCCTGGTCAAAGCCATCCTGCTGCTGGACGGTCCTGGCGAGCCCGGGGAGGCGGGGGGCAAACCGGAGCCGGCCAAGCGGCCGGGGGGCAAGGAGACGGCAGGGAAGGGGCCACAGCTCTACGACACCCCCTATGAGCCCGGGGAGGGGGTGGCTGGGGGGACCCCAGAGCGCAGGGCGAGGGCTGGGGATGGGCGTCTGCCTGAGAATGACGAGCGTCCCGCCGGAGAGTACGAGCAGCCCTGGGAGTGGAAGAAGGAGCAGATCGTCAAAGCGCTGTCAGGTAGGGGACGGGGATGGGGATGGGGACAGAGTTTTTAGTAGAGCCTGTAGCAATAGGCCAAAGGGTGATAGTTCTAAACTAAAAGAGTGGCAAGGTAAAGTAGAGCGGGGGAGGAAATTTTTTACGCTGAGGGTGATGAGACACTGGCACAACTTGTCCAGAGAGGTGGTGGGTGCCCCATCCCTGGAAACATTCAAGGTCAGGTTTGATGGGGCTGAGAGCAACCTGATGTAGTTGAAGATGTCCCTGCTCACGGTGGGGTGGGGTGACTAGATGGGGACAGGGACATGGGTGGGGACAGGGATGGGGATGGAGGGGGCTATTGAAGCCTCACATCTTGTGTGTGTCTGTCCCTGTCCCCCATCCCCCCCCCTCCTTCCCCAGTCCAGTTTGAGGGCTCGGAGCGTCCCAAGGAGGAGATGCCGCGGCAGCACCTCCGCCAGAAGAGCTGGACCCCCAAGATGCTGAAGCCGGCGGGCGGCGAGCACGGCGAGGGGGAGCGGGTGGACCCCGCTCTGGCGCTGGAGAAGCAGCCGTGAGTCGTGAGGATGAGCTGGGGTGGGAAATGGAGGGAGGGGGGGGGGGGGGTGGGGGTGTCCTGGGGCTTTGGCACCTCTCAGTGTGTGTCCATCCCCCCCCCCCCAATAGCTGGTACCACGGGGCCATCACACGGGCCGAGGCAGAGAGCCGGCTGCAGGCGTGCCGCGAGGCCGGCTACCTGGTGCGGACCAGCGAGACTGGCAGCGGCAAGTACTCCATCGCGCTCAAGTGAGTGGCTGAGTGGCCGTGGAGTGGGGGGGGTCCCAGCCCTGGGGAAGGGGGGGGGGGCGGGTCCCACTTTGCAGGGATGCGGTGGCAGGAGTCCCCCGGTTGTTCACGCCAGAGCCCTGATGGGGTGGGAGCACCCGTGTCCCCGGGGGATGGCACCCCCCCACACCCCCGCAGCGGGACCCAGGCATACTGGTGCAGCACTGGGCCATAATAAGGGGGGGGGGGGGGTGGGGGGGGGGCCAGGCGGTGCGTCCCCCTCCCCGGCACATTGTCGGGAGCGCTGGTGGCGTTTCCTTCCTGAGGAAGCGGAGCCCCTGGAGCTGAAACAATCGGAGCGGGACGGGAACAAACAGGGGTGGATGCGGCCGCGGCCGCGGGGCGGGCGGGCGCCGGGGGGGCCGGCGGCAACCGCTGACGCCCGCCGGCCACCCAGGACCAGCCAGGGCTGCGTTCACATCATCGTGGCCCAGACCAAGGACAACAAGTACACGCTCAGCCAGGCCAGCGGCGTCTTCGCCAGCGTCCCCGAGGTCGTGCACTACTACTCCACCGAGAAGCTGCCCTTCAAGGGGGCTGAGCACATGGCCCTGCTGCACCCCGTCCACTGCAAGCTGCATTAGCACCCACTAATGCCCCCTGCCCCCCTCCCCAAGACTGGCCCACGACCCCCCGGGCCCGGGGTGTGGGGCACGGTCCGGCCCCGGTGACGGCCGCGTGCTGTGGCGAGGGTCCCGCCGAAGACCCCCTTGGGTCACGTCCCCAGCCCTGTGGGGACCCCCCGCTCCTGCCTGATGGCCCCTGGACTCGGGCACGGCTGCGCTGCCCTTTCGCCAGGACGGATCCTGCCCGCCCTGTGCTGGAGCTGAGCTGCTGCGGGGCTGCCCCTGGCCCCCTCCGGGGCAGGGGGACACAGCGAGATTGGGATGTGTAATGAAGTAGTAAAATAAACTTGGCTGAGAGGAGGCGAGAGGTCCCGAAGGGGCTGGGATGGGGGTGGCTGGGGGCTGTAAGGTGTAAGGGACAGGGTGGGATTGGGGCTGGGGGCTCAAACGGGGAAGGGAGGGGGCGGGATCGGGGCTGGGGGCTCAAACGGGGAAGGGATGGGGCAGGATTGAGGCTCAAGGCTGCAAAGGGGAAAGGAGGGTGTTGGTGTTTGCAGAGGTGCAGGGTTGGGACTGGGCTGGGGGTAGGGATGGGGCTGGGGGCCGCTGGGGGCCCCAAGGGTGCTGGGAGGGGCAGGTACCCCGGGGTGCAAGTGCTGCAGGGGGGTACAGCCCCTTCCCGGCCCAGGGTCCCCATGGGGCTGGCTGCCAGGCTCTGCTCTGCCGGCAGTGGGGCCGCGGTGCTGCCCGAAACCAGGGCAGGTTTTGGGGGCTGGGGGCCCATCAGGGTTCACCCCAGAATCTGGCCCCCCCAGACTCCTGGGTGGTGGTGGTGGGGGTGTCACCTGCCTGCTTGGGAGGGCAGAAGGGGGTGATTCAACCCCAGCCTCGTGCTGGCAGGAGCCATCCTGGTTTTGGGGACAAGGGGTACTGGGGCTCCCCCTCCACACACACACATCTGCATCCTGCTAGGCTTTTTATAGAGCAGGGCTGGCCGGGGGGGGGGGGTGGGGGGGGGAGGAATGTGGCGTCCCCAGGGTGCCCAGGCACCCGCTCCCCTCACCCTGCGGTTTCCTGCCCGGGTGCAGCTGCAGCTCCCCGGGGCGTTGCACAACCCGGTGTGGGGTGGGTGGGCTGCTGCTGGGGGCACTGGTGGCACAAGGGCATGGCCTCGGGGGGGGGGGCGGGTGCGTGGCCTGGAGTAGGTGGCACGGGGGGCTGGGGTGGGGGGCGACAGCACAGACTGCACTGCCTGGAAGGCACTCAGTGGCACAGGGGGGGCCACGGCTCGGGGTACATGGCCCGGTTAGGGAGCACAAGAAGGCACAGGAAGCATGGACTGGGGGGGCACAGCCTGGACTGGGGGGGGTGCACCCCTTGAAGTCACTCCCAGGTAAGGGAGGCTGCAGCGACCCCTCCATTACTCCCCCCCCGCAAAGCACCCACTCCATTACAAATCCAAGGCATTTATTTAGGGGACACATTTTACCACATTTACCCAAAATATGCTTTAAAAATAAGCCCCGGGGGGGGGCGGGGCAGAGGGATGGGGCTGATCCAGCCAGGCCCCCCCCTTCCCTGATATCTGTGGCACTGGGGGGGGGTTAGGCCCTTCCGCAAGGGGACCCCCACACCCTGCCCTGCGGGCAGAGCCCAGCCCTGCGCCCACGTTCCGGCATGGATGCGCGCCCAGCACCTTCACCCTCAGCTTCCCAGTTTGGCTGGGGCGCCAGGGCTGCCCCGCACTGGGACCCATCTTGGGGGCCCCCCCCCCGGCCCCCGGGCTGGTTCTCCATGGGGGTGGCACTGATCCCCTTCCTCAGAGGCTGCTCCCAGCCACGGGGCCTGGGGGCAGCTTTTGGCACCCAGAAAGGGGGTGGGGTGGGGCTGCTCCCAGGGGCACATCCCGACCCTGGGACCCCCCCCCAGAGCCAGGGACCCCTGTCCAATGTGCAGGCACCTGCCAGAGCGTCCAGCCCCCCAGTTACTGCCCTGAGAAGAAATAGTCCAAGTTGGTGACGTGGAGAGTCCTGGGGGCCAGAGGTCCGGAGGGCGAGAGCAGGGGGGTCTCACTGAGTGGGGGGCCGGGGGGGCTCAGGGGCACCAGCACATGCTGCCCCTCGCCCTCTGGCTTGGCCCCTCGCTGTCTGCCCGTCTGCCACGTCTGCCTGTACCTGCAGGAGGGGAGAGCGGTCCCACATTAGGGGGGGCAGGTGGAGCCCCCTCCCCCTCAGAACCGCCCCCCCCCCAGGCACTCACCTCACCATGATGCCCACAAAGAGGGCGATGCCCAGGAGCAGGCTCCCCCCGGCTACCAGGAACGTGTAGGGGGATGCCACAGAGCGGGCGCTGGCTTTCACAACAGCCCCTGTGGCAGAGAGGGGGGGGGGCGGGAGGAATGGGCTCGTTGTGGGGATGAGCGACCTGGGGAGTTGTGTCCCAGCCCCCCGCAGCCAACCCAGGGCCCCCTCCTCACCACCAGCACCCTCAGCAGCACGATCCCCGAAGAGCTCAGGGGGCAGCGTGACCCCGTAGGCGCCATCGTCCACGGGGAACTGCAAGAGAAGGGAGGGGGGGCACGATGGGATGGGGCAGCCCCCCAGCCCTGGCATCCCCCCTTGTCCCACTCGGGGACACAAGACCCAGCCAGGATCGTGTCGTGTCCCCCCGGGGCTGAGGCTGTGCCCTACCTGGGAGCTGAAGGGTCCCATTTCAGAGGTGAGGTCCCCGGGGTCTGTAAGGTGAGGGAGGACCGTGAGACTGGGGGACGCTGGGGCTGAGCCCCCGATCCTGGGGCCCCGCGTCCCCCCTCCTACCTGTCCAGGGGGTCCCCACTGCCACCCGGCTCCACTCACTCCACACGCCGTGGCCGAACTCCTCCTGCGCCCGCACCTGCACCACGTGCCGCGTCCCCCGCAAAGCGTCACGGATGTCCAGCCACGTCGTCATCACCTGGTCCACCTGGAGGGGACACGGGCAGCACGGGGTTGGGGACAGCCTCACCGGGGCCGGGGGACAGCCCCACACCGGGGAGGGGTGCCTCACCTCCGTGAAGGTCTGGGCGGGCTCGGGGCGGTAGCGGACCTGGAAGCGGAGCCAGTAGAAACGGGGGTCCCAGGATGAAGGGTAGGACCAGTTGACCCGCAGCTGCTGCGGTGCCTTTTCCAGAGCCTCCACCGTCACGTTGAGGGGGGGGTCGGGCTTCACTGATGGGAAATGGGGAGGGGGGTCAGGGCCCGGCACCGTACCGCTTGGCCAGCCCTGGCCTCCGGCAAGAGGGGAGCGGCACTCACGGATGCTGCTGAGGGTGATGATCCTGTCCTCTCCGGCCGAGCCGCCGGCACCGTTGTTGACGCACGTGGACACCACGAGGGGTTTGGTGTCGTCGGCGCCGGGTGGCACCTTCACCCGGCAAACAAACTTCCGCGCCTTGGAGAAATACCGGCACCACTGCTCCGTGGCGTTCTCGGCTGCAAATCTGCGGGGCCGCGGCTCAGCTGGGGTTGTGATGCACACACACACACACCCCCCCCCCCACCCATACACACCGGGCACAGGGCAGCCGGGGCCAGCATCCACCAAAGGGTCTGTGGGGAGGGGGCACGGAGGGACACCCCTGCGTCCCATGCTGCGGGGTCCCAGCCCCGGCTCACCTCTGCTTCACCCAGAGCATCGCCCGCGTCCCCGGGGACGGCTTCACCCGCAGCGGCCACTCGCACAGGACGTCTTTGTTGTGGCTCCGTCGGTAGCAGGAGACCCGAGGGGTTTCGGGGGGCTCTGCAAAGCAGGGAGAGGCGCTGGGGAATGGGGGGACGCCTGACCGGGGAGGTGCTGCGTGGGAAAAGCCCCTGCCCCGGCGCGGACCCACCTTCCACCAGCAGCCGCAGGGAGCGCAGCAAGCGGCCCCCCGCGTAGCAGCCGTAGCGCCCCGAGTCCTCGTAGCGCAGCCGCCGCAGCAGCAGCGCGTTGCCCTCCGCCAGCCGCCTCCTGGGGCCCCCCACTGCCCCCCACTCCTCCACCTGCCAGAACACGGTGACGTTTGCTGGCCCCTTGTCCCAGCAGGTCAAGGTGACGTTCGCTCCCGGGCGCCCCAGCACCGTGTCCCGCGAGAGCCCTGGTGGGGGGACGAGGAGGGGAGGGGGGGGGGGGGGGTCAGGCAACGGAGACAAGACCCCACGGGTGTCCCCAGAAGTGGGAGACACCCCACTGTCTGCGCCCCCCCCCCCCCTGCACTCAGCAGCTACTAGCTGTCAATATTTGCAGGAGGTAGCGAGGAGCCAGCAGCTGCTGAGCCAGCGATTCCCCACCGAGCCGAGCACCGCCCCCCCCCGCCGGCACGGGGACCCCCCCCCCCCACCCCGGCACCGCCACGGGGACTGACACCGCAGCACCCAACTGGGGGTTATGAGTTTGGGGGGGGGGGTGGGGGTCTTGCGGTGGGACCCGGCCGGGCAGCGTGGGGAGTGGGGCTGTTGGAGAACTGCGGGCTGGGGGGGCCGGGGGGGGGGCCGGGGGGGGGCCGGCGCTGGCGGGGTTAAGCAGCCGGGCTGCCCGGGGGCACCCGGCCAGGCCTGGGCTGGGGCCAGCGAGGCCGCCCGGGGCAGCGCTCCCGGTTCTCGCTGCAAAGGTCAACAGCCAGCGCAGACCTGTCGGTTCCCGTCAGCTTCCCGCTACCGGGAACGCACCCAGCACCCGCCCCCCCCCAGCACCAACCCCCCCAGCACCCACCCCCCCTAAAGCACCCACCCCCCCTAGAGCACCCACCCCCCCTAAAGCACCCACCCCCCCAAAAAGCACCCACCCCCCCTAAAGCACCCACCCCCCCAAAAAGCACCCACCCCGAGCCCCGCCGGGGCGGGCAGGGATCCGTCCCCCTCCCCATTAGCCCCGGGACCGGGAGAAGCGCTCCCCCCCCCCCCCCCCCCCCCCCCCGCCTCGACCCAGGGCAGCCCCGCCGCGGTGTTGGGGGAGGACAGACGGACACCGCACGGACGGACAGACAGACGGACGGACCGGACGCGCGACCCTCCCCGGTACCGGTCGCACTCACCCGCGGGGCCGCAGGGCCGCCCGGGAGCGGAGGAGGCGACGAGGAGCAGCAGCAGCGGCAGCGCGGCGGGGAGCGGCGGCCCCGGGCAGCAAAACATCGGCGGAGCCGCCCGCGGCGCGGCCGGTGCCCGCGGTTGTGAAACCGGGGCCGGGGGGCGGAGGGAGGGGGGGGGGGGGGGAGGCGGCTCCGCGGCGGCAGCACGTGCGCCCGGGAGGGGCGGGGCCAGGCGGCACCGGGAGAGGGGGTGGGGGGTGGGTGTGTGTGGGGGGGTGTCGGTCCGACCCCCCGGTGTCCCCCCCCACCTCCCCACTCCGCAGGACACAGGACACGGCAGAAGCTGCTCAGAACTTTTTTTTGTTTTTTTTTTTATATATATATATATATATATAAAAAGCTGAGTTTTGGTTCTTTTTTTTTTTTTTTTTTTTCCTCTGTGGACCCATAAAATGATACAATTCCATAATATAGAAACGTGTAATAAATTAGACCCCCCGATCCTCGCCCCCACCCTCCCCCCCCCAACACAAAATAACCCCCCAAACACCCCCAAAAATAGACTCCAGCCCATGCCAGAGCCCGTCCTGAACAGTTTCCTCTTTGGTATCAAGGAGAGAGTAGCCCCGAGACCCCAACATCTCCCCCCCGAGACCCTCTGATGGGGAGGGGACGATGCCCACCTGCACCCCCCCGGGGAGAGGGTCCGGTGCCCCCAGAGCTGGGGAGGAAGAGGAGGGAGGAAGCGGAGGCCAAGGGTTGTGCAAGACTCTGGCGTGGGAGTGAATCACGGCGGCCTGCAAACCCCGCTGCTTCCCGCAGAAAGCAGGAAGGAGCCGGGGAACGCTTCCCCTTTCCCACCCGGCCCCCCCATCCCGGCACCCCCAGAAGCGGGGGGCCCAAGGAGGGTGACACCCCTCACCCCCCCAGCCCCAGCGCCTGCCCCCTGCGCTCTCTCCGTAACCAGTCGTGCCAACACCGAGAGAAACAAGTCGCTCTGTAAACTTGGGAGGGTTTTTCCTTCCTTTTTTTTTTTTGTTGCTTGTTTGTTGTGGATTTTTTTTGTTTTGTGTTTTTTTTTTTTTTTTTCTTTTGTATAAAAAAAGATACGTGGGGGGAGGGATGGGGGAAAGGGCAGGGGGGCTGTCACGGCCCCCCCCTGGCCCCCCACGCCTGCCCACGGTGGTGGCTCTGGCATGATACATTCGCGTGTGATGGGGTATTTGCACTCCGTAGAGGTGAATACTGACAGAGGAGCAGCCTGGGGGGGGGGGGGGGGGGCTGGTGGGGACAGCGTCCTTCTGTCCGTCCATCCCGGGGACAGGGAAGAGGATTTTTTTGGTTACACTGCAACAGTCCAGACTCCTCCAAACCTCAGCACCTGGGCCCACGCGGCCTCCGCTCCCCCCACGGGCCCCCTCCCCAGGAGGGGCTTGACCCCGCCCCCCCCCCCCCTCCTCCTCAGGGCATGGCAAGAGAATGGGGTGAGGGGGGGGGGGTCCCCGGCTGCACGGGAGGGGACACGATTCCCCCGCACCCCCCCCCCCCAGCCTCACACCTTGAGCATCTTGTCGGCCGCGGCACTGGGGCTGCCGGCGGTGCTGGTGTCGCTGCCCTTCTTCTTGCGCAGGGTCTCGATCCAGCCGGCGCTGGGGCGGGCGGCGAAGCTGGAGAGGGCCAGGGAGCTGAGCCGCATGTTTTTGCCGGACATGATGAGCTCCCCGAAACCCTCCTGGTGGGAGAAGGCGTAGCCGGAGCGGCGCGAGCCCGCACGCCCCACGCGCCGCATGCACCGGTGCTGGGTTTTCTGTTTCTTCCGTACCAGCTGAGTGTAGCGCACCTGGGGGACACGGCAGGGGGGACAGGGTCAGGAACCCACGGACCCCAGGGGACAGGACCCCCGGGGCCGCGCTCCCCCAGGGCCACACGCTCTCACCGTGTCCGAGAGTTCGGGTTTCAGGTCCAGCTTGAGGAAGCGAAAGGCCACGACGGGCATGATGCAGACCACGGTGGTGAGGGCGATGGTCAGCCAAACCGCGGGCTGGGCCAGCGTGTTCTGTGCATTACCTGGGAGAAGCACAAATCCAGCCAGGGCTCAGGCAGGACAGCACCCTGCTGGGGTGGGGAGGGCATCGCTCGGCCCCCCCCTGGGACTCACCCACAAAGCGGAACTGGTTGGGGAACATCTGGAAGAGGCCGTCGCTGTGCATGGTGAAGAGGATGGCAAAGTAGGCGGCCAGGCTGCCCCAGATGAAGAAGTGGTTGATGGCCGTCCAGAAGCCCGTGTCCAGCCCGATCTGGTGGAGAGGGGAAGGAGGTGGGGCAGGGCTCAGGGGACGGCTGCGACGCACCCAGCACGGCCGCAGGGCCCGTGAAGGGACCCAAACCTTCACCCTCTCTTTGTGCTACGGGGTTAGGGGGGCCGAGCAGCCGCAGGCCCCACCTGCACGCTGACGACGATGACGAGGGAGGTGGCGACGGTGACGGCGAAGGACTGGTAGTCGGCCAGCTGGGCGCCATCGTCACGGGTGGCGTCAGCGAAGACGCCGTAGGGGATGAAGAACATGAGGACGGAGGTGTAGATGCCCTGGGCGATGCAGATGAAGAACTCCCGCTTGTTGAAGAGCAGGTTCAGCTGCCCAGGCTCGTAGAGCTTGGGGTACTCCATGCTCCGCTGCTCCGGCACGTCCTGGGGGTAACGTGGCTCTCTGGGCACCTCCGTCCAGCCCCGGGGCAGGCAGAGCCTGGTCGCTGGGGCTGGGCCAGCCTTCACCATCACCCACGGGGGGATGAGGATATCCCAGCCCAGACAGCCCTTCCTCCCACGCAGAGGAGCCAGGCCAGCTCCTTGTGCACCCAGGGACCCCTCCCACCCCGTACCTGGTCAAAGACACCCATGGCGAGCACGGGCAGCGACGTGTAGACGATGTTGTACAGCGTGATGAAGTACTGGTCGTACACGGTCTGCAGGGGATGGAGCGCTCAGGGGACACGAGACCTGCCCGCCCCTTGCCCCAGCCGGCCCCCGCATCCCCGCGCCCACAGCTGCGGTGACAGCAGAGCCACCACCAGCCCCGCCGTGGGTGCCCACTCGAGGCCCCCCCCCCCGCACCCACCACACGCTGCCACGCTCCGGAAGGATCCCAGGCTGTGCCTGCTGGTGCAGGATGAGGCCCTCCGGGGAACCCCGGGCACACTTCTGAGCAGAGGGGTCCCCCAGACAAACCCTCCCCAACTCGGAGCACGGGGAGCCAGCAACACACCTGCGCCGAGAAGCCGCAGAAGAAGCCAAACCAGAAGTGGACCATGGTGAAGGCAAAGTTCTTGTAGAAGAAGTAGCAGAGGAATTTGCACATGCGCAGGTAGGACCAGCGCCCGTGCACCAGGAGCAGGCGCTGCAGGAACTTGAACTGTGAGAAGGAGTAGTCGGAGGCCAGCACCGCTTGGATGCCCTCCTGCCCGCTGATGCCCACCCCGATGTGGGCAGCTGTGGAAGGAAGAGACACGTGGAGTGATGACGGCTCTGCCAGGAGCACAGGGGACCAGGGGTGGCACCCCCTCAGCGGGACTGCGTTCCTGCGGGGCACAGAGGGGAGAGGACAAAGGGTACAAGGTGCAAGGGGGGGACCTGTCCCTCCCTGTGGCTCCCCAGACCCCGGGACTTACTCTTGATCATGCTGACATCGTTGGCCCCGTCCCCGATGGCCAGGGTCACAGCTTTCTTGTACTTCTTCACCAGCTCCACCACCTGGGCTTTCTGCAAGGGCGTGACGCGGCAGCAGATGACGGCCTTGCAGGCACAGGCCGTCTCCAGGAACTCCACCTCCATGTCAGCCTCCAGCGCGTGGGCCTGCAAGGAGAGCGGGGAGACCGTGGGGGGGCCACGGCCCGCAGCCAGGCAGGGTGCCCCATCCCACCCGGCGCTCCCAGGTCCCTACCAGGCTGTGCCCATTGATGACCAGGGCATATTCACCCGCGATGGCTTCCAGCACGGAAGTGAGCTTGGAGGAGGAGAGTTTCTCTTGATAGGAGAAACCGTTGCCCACGGAGCGTGACGCGTCCATCATCTTCTCCCGGGCTTTCCTGAGGAGAAAGAGAGGGGTCAGGGGGCCCCCCGATTCAGGGTACACCGCATCCCCCAGCTCCCCCCCATGCAACCGTGCCTCACGTCGGCGCCGCGTGCGTCCTCTGCCCAGCCCTGCCCCCCCGACCCTCACCTGAGCTCTTCTCGCACCTCCAGCACGGTGTGGCCCGTGACCACAAACACCTCCGTCATGTCGTCCGTCAGCATCTTGCAGGAGTAACCGATGTTCACAGCCGTTTCTGGGGACGGGAAACCAGGGGCTGAGCCAGAGTCCCATCGCCCCCCCCGCCCCCGGCAAGTGGGATCCAGCCCGCGCATGCTCTCATCTCCAGCGCCAGCCCAGACCCCCACCCCAGCAACGCCTCACCCTGTTTATCCCCTGTCAGCACCCAGATCTTGATGTTGGCCAGCGTCAGGATGGCGATGGTTTCGGGGACCCCCTGCTGCAGTTTGTCCTCGATGGCCGTGGCTCCGAGCAGCTGGGGGGACCCAAACAAGGAGGAGTTCAGCGGGGGCTTCCCCCCCCCCAGCAGCCTCCTGCCCTCCCAGTGCCCCCAGCGCACGTACCATCATATCGTGCTCCACCTCATCGTAGAGCCGAGCCAGGCGATCCTCACGGGCCTCGGCGGCACTGCCGGCTCGGTGCAGCCGCTCGGACCAGTCCTCGTAGTAGCTCTCCTCCAGGTCTTTGTAGGCCAGCACCAGCGTCCGCAGCCCTTCGCCAGCATATTCCTGCAAGGAGCCGGAGCTGGGTGCCCAGGCAGACCCCGACGGTGTCCCCCGGACCCTGATCAGCCTCCCAGGACAGGGCAGAGCCCCCAGGCTCCGCGCTTCTGGGCAGCTCCCTCTTCCCTTCCCAGCCCTGCCCTGCTCACGTTGAGGTGGTCGGTGGTGACGTTGGTCAGGTCCTGGTTGACGGGGTGCAGGCGTTCCAGCAGGATGGTGTCAGCACCTTTGCAGTACAGCCGGATCTTGCCCTCGGGGCTGCGGACTGCGGGGAGCAGGGGACAAGCTGCCTGGCTCAGGGGTGCAGGAGCAGG